GCAGGTGATAATGTTTTTCAATACGAATTTCTGAACATTAGCGGTCGTGATGGTGGCAAGCGGCTCGGCTTCGATCCATTTGGTAAAATAGTCAACAGCTACTACCAGGAATTTGCATTGCCCTTTGGCGAGTGGGAACGGGCCGAGAATGTCGATACCCCATAGAGCAAACGACCAAGGGGCACTGACCGTGTGCAGCTACTCGGCCGAGGCATGTATCAGGTTACCGTGTTATTGGCATTGTTTGCATTTCTTCACATACTCTGCATAATCGATTTTCAGAGTCGGCCAATAATAGCCGGCCCTCAACACTTTGGTAGCCAATGACCTTCCACCTGAATGAGATCCGCAGATCCCCTCGTGAACTTCTTGCATAACGTAATCGGCTTGTTGTTGGTCGATGCACTTCAACAAGGGTGTGGAAAATCCTCGTCGGTATAATTCTCCGGCAACCACGGGGTATCGTGCCGCTTGAGTTCAGATCTTCTTGAGTTGACTTGGATCGGCGGGCTCCGTGCCATTAACGATGAAGTTCACAATGTCGGCCATCCACGAACTCGTGAGTTTCTCGATCGGCATGCATTCTTGTGGAATACTTGGCGTGGGTAATTCCAAGTGGATGGTGGTCCAAAGCTGTCCCAGTTTTTGACTACTAGCCAGCTGGTCGGCTTTTTCGTTGTTGCAACGTGGTGTGTGTCGGACTTGTACGTCGCTAAACTAATTACTCATCCCTTTAAAGAGGTGGTAATACTTCAGTAGGTTTGTGTCTTTGACTTGAAAGTTATCATTCACCTGTTCGGCAACTACTTTCGAGTCGGTCCAGCACACGATTGCATTGGCTCCCATCTCGGCGGCTAGTCTCATGCCTGCAAGCAAAGCTTCATACTCTGCTTGATTATTTGATGTTCGGAAGCCGAAGCGTAGTGATTGTTCGAGGGTGATACCAGATAGGCCTTGCAAAATTATGCCGGCATCGCTTCCTTGTCGATTGGAAGATCCGTTGACGTGCATGGTCCAAGTATTATATTCAAAGTGGCCGGGTGGAGACAGCTCGTTGACGAAGTCGGCCAAGTGTTGCGATTTGATAGGGCCTCGCGGTTTGAACCGGACGTCAAACTCGGACAACTCTATTGACCAAGCCATCATTCGACCCGCGATCTCAGGCTTGCTAAACACTTTGGCTATCGGGCAATCGGTTCGGACTACCACCTTGTGACTTTGAAAGTATTGTCGAAGTCGTCGCGCCGTGTAACTCAGTGCAAGAGCTACTTTTTCCAGGAGTTGGTATCGGCGCTCGACGTCTTGCAAGACTCGGCTGACAAAGTATATAGGTTGCTGGTGGTCGTCCATTTCTTGGATCATGACGGCACTTATGGCATCGTTGGAAACTGCCAAGTATATGATCAGGTCTGATCTGAGTATCGGTTTAGAAAGAACTGGGGGGGTCCCGAGTTTTCCTTTGAACTGCTGGAATGAGGCTTCACATTCATCCGTCCACTTGAATCGGTCGGCCTTTTTTAACAGGCTGAGGATTGGTTTAGCTGTATCGGCCATGCACGGGAGAAAACGAGACAAAGATGTCAGCCGGCCGGACAATCTTTGAACTTCTTTGATGTTTGTTGGGCTTCTCATGTCTAGGATGGTGTGGCATTTGTCGGGGTTTACCTCAAAGCCTCGACTAGAGAGCATAAAGCCTAGGAACTTTCCTACGGATACACCAAATACACACTTGTCGGGATTGAGACGCATTCAATGTTCTCGCAGTGCTTGGAATACTTCGGCCAGGTCAGCCGCGTGACCGGCAAGGTTAGGTGATTTGACCACCATGTCATCGACGTACACTTCCAAATTCTTTCCTATTTGCTTGTGGAAGATTTTGTCCATGAGTCTCTAATAGGTAGCCCCGACGTTCTTCAAGCCGAATGGCATAACCTGATAGAAATAGTTTGCCAATTCGGTGACGAATGTTGTCTTCTCTTCGTCCTGGGGATGCATTCAGATCTGATTGTATCCGAAATATGCATCAAGAAAAGTTAGGAACTGATGGTCGGCCGCGCCATCAACCAATCGGTCAATGTTTGGCAGTGGGTAAGCATCTTTGGGACATGCCTTGTTCAAATCGATATAGTCAGTGCACATTCGCTACTTACCATTTGGCTTCTTAACCATGACAATATTGGTCAACCATGTTGTGTATTGGACTTCTCGGATAAAGCCCGCATCCATAAGCTTGGAAACCTCTCCCCCAATTGTCTTCTTCCTTTCTTCCCCCGTTTTTCTCTTCCGTTGGGCAACCGGCTTCGCCTCTCGGCAGACTGAGAGTTTGTGGCATAAAAATTTGGGGTCGATCCCCGGCATATCGGTTGGCCGCCATGCAAAGAGGTCTTCATTTTTTCGGACGACTTGTTGTATCTGTTGCTTGGCTTGTTCGGATAGGTTGGATCCCAGATAAGTTACATGAGAATTGGTTGGATCGATGAAAAAAGGTTGTTTGTCTTCGGTCGGCTCGACCCTTTCATCTTGCTCCATGCGAGGGTCGAAGTCCACGATTGGGGGATCGAGTTCTCGGGCTACTGTGTGTACACGCTTGAGCTTTCGTGGTTCTGTTTCTTCAAGGCGGGGTAAGCAAAGACTAGCAAAATAACATTCCCTTGCCGCCTTCTAGTCGGCGTGAACAGTGATTATTCGTCCCGACTCGGATGGGAATTTCATCGCCAAGTGTGGAGTCGACACAATTACACCGAGTTTGTTTAGGTACGGCCTTCCAAGGAGAATATTGTACGACATGTTGGCATGTACAACCACGTATTTGACCGAGATACTTCTAGTTTCGGCTCCATCAAAATAGAAGCGTGTGGATAACTTGATGTACCCTTTTGTTTGGACGCGCTCACCGAAGAATCTGACCAAGGGTTCGTTGTATGGGATCAATTCGGCCTCCAGGATGCCGAGCTGTTTGAATGTGTTCCAATAGAGGATGTCGGCCGAGCTTCCCTGATCGACCAGCGTTTTCTAAACAATGCAGTTGTGGATTGCGACGCTGATGACCATGGGATCGTCTTGATCTGGTTCGATGCCTTTAAAGTCTGCTTCAGTGAACGTGATGGCCGGTAAACTTCGTCGAGTATGTTCGACCGCATGCACGGTTCAAACGGCCTGCATGTGTCTTTTTTGGGCTGAGGAGGTGGAACCTCCGCCTGCGAATCCACCAGCAATGGTGTTAATGACCCTTCGGGGTTGAGTTGTTGGCTCCTCCTTCTTTCGGCCCCTCGATCGGCTGCGTTCCCTGTAGGGACGTCTGTCGAACCTTTCTCTGTCATGCTGGTCTTGGCGACGTGGACGATCATCATATCGGGGAGATTGAGGCCGATCAATAAAGCATTGGAGCTGCCTTTGTTTGATCAAGTCCTCAATCTTGTCTTTCAAAGCTATGCACTCCTCGGTCGAGTGGCCCCTGTTTCGGTGATACTTGCAGGACTTGGTTGTGTCGGCGCGCGGAGGGGTCGAGGCTCGCTTCGGCACTGCCAGGACCTCCGACGCAAGTGCGTGGTCCAAGACAGCCTATCGGCTAGTATTCAACGGAGTGTAATGAGAGTATCTCGATCCGTGAGCAGGTTTTTCTCGAGTGTTCAACGGAGTGTAATGCCAGGCTTCTCTATCTTGGCCGTTACCTCTGCCCTGGCCTGATTGCGAAACTCCGCAAGTTCTTCCATCTGCATGTATTTGTCGGGGAGGCGTCGCAGGTCGTCCATGTTAGACGGAGGTTTCTTGCAGATGCTGTTAGCAAACGGTCCCAGCTTCAGGGCTGTAGTTAGATGGTGAAGGGCGACAACCGAGTTTAAATCTCGGATCTCCAATGCCGCTTTGTTGAATCGGCTCATGAAGGTCCGAAGAGATTCCTTCTTCTCTTGTCTTATACTTACCAACGCGAGCGAGGTTAGCTGGTGAGGTCGGCTGGTGGCGAATTGGATGGTGAATTGGGATGCCAAAGTGTTGAAAGAGTCGATCGAGTTGGCTGGGAGCCGTGTGAACCAGCTCAATGCTCTTCCCATCAAGGATGTTGGAAAAATTCGGCATAGGGCGGCGTCGTCGGTGGTGCTGAGGGTGACTTGAGTGAGGAAAATGTCGACATGCTCGTCGGGGTCGGTGGTTCCGTCGTACTTGTCTAGCGGGAGGGACTTCCAGTGGTCGAGGAGCGAAGATTGCATGATATTTGGGGTGAAAGGGTGTCGGTGTGCTCCGGCCGGCGTAGTGTGTGCCAGTCGGCCGGGTACTTGGGCAGCCGAGGCGTGGTTCCCCGGGGCAGCGGCAGAGGTGTGAGGGAGGGAGGTGTGATGTCCGAGCGAGTGGAATGACCCCTGGGTGTGCGTTCGGGTCGGCTCGGAGGGCTTCTAGGTTGGGTCTTGGTTTTTCAGAGCGGCATTCTCTTCCTTTAAGGTGGCCATTTCCCGTGCGTCCTTCTCTCGCTGTTGTTTCATGGCGGCCATCTCCTCCTTCAACTGCCTTACCATCTCCATCAGGTTCATCTCGTCAACCACCTCGACGTGGTCCTCGCTGGATCGGTGCTCCTCATCGGATCGGTGGTCTTCGGTGTTTGTTCTCCTTGTTTTTGCCATAATACTCCTTCAAAATAACACTTAGTCCATCTCTTCAAAGCTATCGGTTCGGCCCCACGGTGGGAGCCAAAATGTACCTGTCTGAGGGCACACTCGTAATCTTCTGGTAGGTGAAGGGTCGAATGGGAGCTTCAGGCGGATTCTTCAGAGGGGGGAGGTACCTGCAAAAGGCACTCCGACGCTCAAGTCAGGACAAGCATAATTCTCGAGAGTAATAAATGAACAGTGACATACCTTGTTTCCATTGACCTATTTATACTACCTATCATGGGCTCTGAATGTGATAGGCCTCTTCTGACATTTACCAAATTAGGTAATACGATGCTAATTGGCTGATTATGCCTTAATTGTGCGTTTTCCATTATTAATCATAATCATTGTCCTAACTGCTCTGACCCTATCGGCCCGTGGCCGAGCCGATAGGGAATGGCCGAGACAACCTTTTCGTTCTCGGCCTTTGGCCGAGCCGATAGGAAATGGGTTGGGTTCTCCATAGTTCTCGGCCCTTCACCAAGCCGAAATCGTGTCCAAACTGTGTCAATATCTGATAGATCATGGCGTGTCGATCCACGTGACCGACATGTCCCTTGTGCCGATGTCCGATAGGTCATCATGTGTCAGTCCACGTGGCCGATAGGACCCTTCCGGTACAAAAATCATAAATAAATAAATTATAAGAATCAATTACACATTTAAGTCTAAAATAATAACTAAATAACGTTTAAAATAATTTCTAATAAATTAATAATGTAAATATATATATAAATAATGTGTTTAATTCAAAATAAATGTTAAAGACTTATTTTGAAATGATCTGAAATGTTTCTCACATTTAACAGTTCATCTACTAGTTGCAGAAATATAAATATATTAACCTAACACACACATAGAACATGGTTCCTAACTGGGGCTCCTCCTCCAGTTATCCCACACACACAAAGCATGGCTCTTAACTAGGACTCCTCCTCTAGTTATTTATACCTTATTCTCATACCAAGTATAATCATTGTAATTCAACCACAAGAAAATATATAAGGGTAAGCTAGTATTCAAAAGAGTAATTATATAATAAATATAGAAGTAAAATTACTATACTAACAACATGCTCACGAAAGTAGGGATGCCAAGTAAACCTGTACTTGTGGGATAATGTCGAAACCTACCCCAACTTTGACGGATAATATCTAGTTTGATCAAACATGGGTATGGGTACGTGTAATATCCGATTCATTAAATCAGGGATAAGGACGAGAATAGGGATGAATATATACATACCCGTTTCGTACCGATACTTGCATCCGCTTTAAATTTATAAATATTTTTTTTTTAGAATTTACTTAAAATTTATGTAATTTTTTTATGTCAAATAAAGTTTAATTAATGTAATTTTATAATTATTATTTTATATTGGAATTCTTATTTTTTATATTTTTTTTATAAAAAATGATATTTAATTAATTTTTGGACGAGCACAAGATGGGTATAGGTAATACCCAATACCTAACGGATATAGAAATAGGGACACAAATTTCATATCCGCCAGTATGGGGACGAGGATGGGTATAAAGTACAGGAACGAATATTGAGAAACTTCATATTCACCCTGCCCATTGCCATCCCTACACATAAACCACACAACACAACTACAACATGTGACTTACAACTTAACGACACAACAATGACTCCTCAACATGACATTCAACAACCTTAAAACGATGAACAACTTAATCACATCACAATTATTACAACTTACACCACAATACATGCCATTGTCTTGGTCATGCTGGGCACCACTCAACTTGGACTTAATTTTACCAAGTCATAAACATTTCTCTCTCATCATACCCGATGTCATTTAACCTACATCTGACATGACCAAGTCAGAGAGTTTTTCTCTTACTCACATCCAGCATTACCAACTCAATGTTCGATGTTAATGAGGCAGAGAGCCTCTAACTCATATCACACCTAGAGTAATGGTAAAATGTACACTTAAGAGAATCACAAATTGGTCCAAAACACTAATTCATATTTATGACTCTTTTTGTTCAAACACTAATTAAGTTCAATAGTTTTTATGATGGTGAATATAACAAGACAAGTTTCACAAATTCATGTCTTAAAATAAAATAAAAAATAATCATTATTTTAAATGAATCAAATTAACTCAAATTTAAAGAATAAAAGACTAAAATAATTTTTTAAAAATAAATTTTAAATAAGATAAAAGAAAAAAAAATTGTATAATTTAACTGTATATATGATGAGGTTATTTTATGATATTTGTTTGAGAGGATATTTTATAAGACTTACTTTTTTTTATCAGAGGAGCATGTCTTTATATGGCACATTATATTTTATGAGTTATGAGGGGTTATGGGGTTATTGGTTGTCACCGAATCCAACCTGCGGCTCTGATACCACTGATGGGGTTATTTTATGGTACTTGTCTGAGAAGATATATATTGGTATGATTCATAATTAATTCTTTATTGAACAAACAATCATTTACATGTCACCCAAAAATAATAAAATATCTGCATGATGTATACATTTAGAAATCTTTACACGTAGGATTAACAGCGGACAAACTTCTAGAAGTCATTAAATTAATACTGAATAACTGTATGAAAAAAAAAAAGACAAAAGGTCAAAATGATAAATAAATGGCTAAAAACCTATTTTGGTCCTTTATAATCTTTTTTTGTTTCAATGTAGTCCCACTTTTATTTTTGGTATAAATTTAGTAACAAAATAATTAATTGTTTAAATTTGGTAATCAACTAATTAATTGGTTTCAATTTAGTCCCAAACTAATTAATTGTTTCAATTTGGTCATAAACTAATTAATTGGTTTCAATTTAGTCCCAAACTAATTAATTGTTTCAATTTGGTCATAAACTAATTAATTGGTTTCAATTTAGTCCCAAACTAATTAATTGTTTCAATTTGGTCATAAACTAATTAATTGGTTTCAATTTAGTCCCAAACTAATTAATTGTTTCAATTTGGTCATAAACTAATTAATTGGTTTCAATTTAGTCCCAAACTAATTAATTGTTTCAATTTGGTCATTTATAAAATAAATAATTATCCGGTATATTGTATAGGATAAAATGTTAGTATTGGATAAAAATTGAAAGAGTTTTTATTAATTACTAAAGGAAAGAGAAATACTTAATTGCTGTCCTTTCTTTTCTAGATAAAATAAAATAAAATAAAAATGAAACAGTAGTATGAAAATTTATTAAAGAGTAAAACAGTGGATACTTTAAAAATTAATAAAGTATACAGCCTAATAAAAAGTAGAGAACTTATTATTCTCTTTATCATTGTAATATATTTGAGCAATAAAACTTTATTATATGTTGTATATAAAATTATTTTTAGAACAGTGTAAAAGAATTTTACTTCACCATCCCACATTGATGTGTACGCGACAAGTTTATATATATATATATATTAAAATTATTAATTTTTAATGAGAGAAACTAAAATCATACTATTATGATATTCGAGGGACTAAAATTGTTCAATTTAAAATTGAAGGATCAAAATCGCGCAATTGCAGTTCTTTAAGGATTAAAATTACCCAATTAAAATCTTGAGATCAAAACTGCATAATTGTAATACTTGAAGGATAAAAAATGCAATTATACCAATATTTTTTTATTAATTTTATTAAAAAATATAATAATTTTGAAAATATTTTTTAATGGTAAAAATTTTAAAATTACTTATTTTTATAAAATATAATTGTCTTATAAATAGAGTAATAATTTTTTCTTTTTCTCTTTCTGTTTGAAGAAATATTTAAATATCACTTTATAATTTTTTGTAACTTATTTAAGATTAGAGGAATAAAATGATAAAAATTGAGAAAATAAATATAATAAAATAATTTGGACGGAAGTCCCACATTGAAACCAATTAATTAAATTAGGACCAAATTGAAACCATTAATTAGTTTGGGACTAAATTGAGACAAAAAATAAAAGTGGGACTACATTGAAACAAAAAAAGATTATAAGGGACCAAAATAGGTTTTTAGCCTAAAAAATTCTCATCTACGTGGCATTCACGTATGCATCTACATGGCATCCACGTCCTCAAGAGTTAACACCGTTAAAGAAATTTGGACGGAAGTCCCACATTGAAACCAATTAATTAAATTAGGATTAAATTAAAACTCATTAATTAGTTTGGGACTAAATTGAGACCAAAAATAAAAATGTGACTACTTTGAAACAAAAAAAAGATTATAAGGGACCAAAATAGGTTTTTAGCCTAAATAAATAAATAAAGTTTGGTTTATGTGAGGCCTTCCAAAGCAAACTTATTGCGGCCAATGAGGTTGGATCTAATTTATCAAAAAAGTGTCAAATTAAATAATTGAATTGAAGCTAATCTAATTTATTATTTATTTTTATTATAATAGATATATTAGATGAATTTACTGATATGATAAATAATGATACGGAAAGAATGGAACATAAACCACCCTAAAAGTACAGTATAATATATCTTGAAGCAAGACACATATTAGTTATAATTCCTTATATATACGAGAAAAAAAAGTTCCATAAAGAATAAAGGTACCATTAGGACTATACGATCATTATATATATATATATTAAAATGTCTCTAAATTAGCAAAATGGTTGCTCCATTGGGTAATGACGTTTGAAATCTTGCGTGTTGACACTGAGACCTCAAAACAAAACGATTGTAGAGTCCTCCGAAGGGTCATTCATATGCAACCATTTCTTCATGTGTAGTGTACAATTTGAATTTCCATCTCAAAAACCATTTTCTACTTGACGTGGCTCCAAAAGTATATAAAGTGGCTTTCCATTAAGCTTGCGGCGTACCTGAAAGAAATTACATGCTTGGAACATAACAGACTTGCTCATGCAAAATCCTTGTAGAGAAACCAAACAGAACCTATATGAGATGGTAGCAGGTAGCTTCACAATTTTGAAACAGAATTTTGCATAGAGCAACCATGACTTACACCAATGGCTAATATTTATTGTATAGTTTCAAGAGAGGGAGTGAATCATTACATGAAACAAACATTCCCTAATAATTACCTAAACTTTAGAAGTATCACATTAAACACAATTGCATCCTTAACAAGGATATAAATTGGTCACTTGTTAATTGTTATCATACAACTGAATCTAGCAGGGATGGTAACCAACATTTTCAGTTCAGTTTATCTATATTACAAAAAGGGAAAAAATTGCAAACTAATGTAAGAAAGACAAGATGATTTTCACTTTTATCTGTTCATTTATTTTGGTGACGAAGATGGATTTTTCTAAGATTAGCTAGCAAAACAAAGCTTACTAAAGCAATACCTTAAGATCAGAAAGACCAATCACACAAGCACACTCCACTACTTCAGCACCAGCACGTTCTACAAAATAAGTTGAAAATAGCCATAAAGCATTCTAGGGACAACATACAAAAAAAATCTTGAGTGAATCAAAAGAACCAAGAAAAAAGAAAAACAGGAAAAGTCTCTTTTAAAGTGAGCAAGCATGTATCAACCCTTAATTTAATTCGAAGTGTATCATGATCATAAGTCTTAACTCATAAGAAATTAAGGCTGAGTACATCATTGCTTTCCTACCAAGAAACGAATTCACTTTAGAAGAGAATTTTTCTGGAAAAAGGAATATAGAATAGAACAGTAATCTCAATATTAAGAGCCAGCAAGTGCAACTAACCTAAAAGTCTAATTGCTGCTGACAGAGTTCCACCTGTAGCCACCAAATCATCCATAATTATGACCCGTTCACAGGGCTCGACAGCACCAACATGCATCTCCAAACAATCAGTTCCATATTCTAGAACATATTTTTCTGAAATTACTTCACCTAAACAGGAAACAAGTCAAAGTTTAGGCATGAATGTGAGGACCAAATTGATCAAGCGAAACTTGTGGTTTAAATTGATAGACTCAGCTATCAGAGCCCAAATTTTATAAGAAGCTGTTCGAATAAATTTCTCCATAAGTACTTTTTGGAGAAAAACAAATGAAAGCAAATTAAAATAAACTTTTTCATAAGTTAAAATTAGTTTATATATAAGTTAAAAATATAATTTTAGAGGAGTGAATAGGAAATAACTTCTATAAATTGATTTATGTATAAACTAATTTTAGTTAACAAAAAAGTTTATTTCATTTTTCTTTCCAATTTTTTTTCTTCTAGAAGTACTAGCTATTGGAGTGAACCCAAGAGTTACTTTCAGCTCACATGATCAACTATTTGCTATAAAAACAAGCAGAAAATAAACCATTTCAAAGTAAGTGACATGCTTTATTTTATATCCTGTTTTCATAAATAGAATGCAAGCAAGGCTAAGTTGGAAAATCTGTGTATCAAATAGTGGATATGTTGATAATTGCTCAATGAAGATCAAGGAACACCATTAAAAAAACAAGCTAAGCAACAGTGAAGCCATAAACATCTATTCCAATTAAAATGATGAGTCAACACATATATAGCAATTGGGAACTTATTTAGGTACTTCCTCTTGGAAATTGAGTTTGGTTGAACTAGTACCCACAAACACTAACAGTAAAACAGCACCTACATAAATAGTGAACAACCAAAGTATGACTATGACAAGGCCTTTCAACTCAGAGTAGACCTGAAGATGATCCTTATTTTCAGCTTCTTTTCTTTTGGCCAAAGTTTGGTATATTCTAGTTTTAACATGAAACAGATTGAGATTAATAGTAGTGCTCAATTAATAGATATACCTGGTAGCTTTCCAGGTTTGCATAAGGGAACAAACTTGGCACCAATGCCTATAGCAATTGAGGAACCAAAAATGAATCCCCTGGCTTCAACTCCTTCATATAATCCAATCCAATCCAATTGCATTAGCATATAAAGCGATAAAAGCTAACATCATGTAGCTCCGAAGTGAGGAGGGTCATTACTTTTAAGACATTAAAGATATTCAGAGGGATGCAAATACAAGTGCATATTGGTTTGCCAAAACGTAATCCATCAAATGCTTCTGAATCTAGGTCCCATCTGAATGATTAAATTTAGTGTCCCATCATGAGAGGGATACAACACACAGATTCAATGGATGCATCTTTTGCTTAAAAAGGTTAAAATTACTGTCATGCCAAGTTTTAAATTGCCATCACAGTCGCAGTCGCAATTTCTTGTAATCTTAATATTGTAGGAAATTGAGGACAAATGCACCGATATAACTACAATTGCAGTCACATGGAGAGTTTGTTTAGATACAAGCTTTGAAGTATTTTTGAGAGTTTCTTTATTGAAAAAATACTCAATATTTTCAGCAGAAAAGTCCTTCAATGCACTTTTAACTTGTATCGTCTCAAAAAATAAAACCATGAAATTGCAATTGAAATTGCGGTAGCTGACCATTTCATCAAACCTTGCTACCATGATGTTTGAGTTTTGTTTTAACTGTTACCAAAAGGTACCTCTCAAGTTGAACAAGGTGAAAGTTATTCAGTTCTTACCCAACACTAAAGGAAGGAAGGAAAAAAAAAAAAAAAACTCATTTCCATTACAAGTTTTAACATAACACAAGAGAACTGAGAAACAAAGAATAATTGATATATCAGTTGTGTTGAAACAACGCCAAAAACAAACCCTTTAAAAATTAAAATAGAACAAGAACATGACTGAATGCAGAACATCAATTTCCCACAAAATTTGCCTCATCTTCCTCGTAAAAATTTCACAACACAATAGTACAAACATCTACCAACGTTTCAACAATAATGATAATAATAAATTTCAATTCAACAACAATAAAAAAAATTTAGAGAAAGATGAAAATATGGTTCTAAAAAGGTTCCACATGCAGAGGAGGATAGAGCAAAGTACCAGCCACAACAGAAATATCCATGTCTCTGTAATGATCAACAAAAATGTCAACCGTGTCTTTAAACGCCTTGGGATCCAACAACAATGTTGTTATGTCTTGAAACATTATCCCTGTGGTTCATTTAATTTAATAACAACAATACAATAAAGAAAACTATTATTACTAGCATTATTATAATGAAATTAAAACCTTGTTTGGGGAAGTGAGGCACCACTCTGATGGCTTCGGAGATTGCTTGAAGCCTTGAATCTTCACCCTTGTTGGCACCATTTTCTAGGACAAACATGTTACTACTACTACTACTACAACCAGTTTTTTTTTTTTTTTTTTGAAATTTTGTGTGCAAGTAATTGCTGGAAGTGAAGTATGTGTTGTTACTTAAGGAGTTGAGGTTGATGTGTGGGGCTGCAAGCTTTGTTTGAGGTTGAGCCAATAAGAACACCTAGAACACAGTTAAAAGACAACTAATCAAGGTTGTAGGAGTGACGCGAATTCAGGTCACGTGTGCCGCACGAGCTTTTTGTCGTTTTCGGTGAAAATTGCCATCACAAACGCAAAGTCAAAAACATAGGAACTATGGATGGTTGGTGCCAAAAGGATTTTGATTTTGCTCCTATGAAATCCCGAATATGTTTGGAGGATAAAGTGTAATGGTTAAAATTGTAGTAAAAATGTACAATATATTTTTTATTTTTAATCGACGATTATTACTTTATGTTTTATTTGTTTTTATTTAATATTTTAAAATAATAAAAATATATGTAGAGAGTTGTTGAAAAAAATTATTTGTATAAGAATTTATGGAAGGATCAAGGATGTAACGTTATACGTTTTTTTCTTTACTGTACTTTGGGAATCCTATGAAACTTTCTGTACGTAATTATTTGCATAAATATGTTTATTCTTTAATTAATTGCGAGTTTTAAAACACAAGTATTTACGAAAATTAATTCTTGAATTAATTTACTCCTCGCCTTAAAATCTCTCTTGATTTTAAAAATATTTTTGATAATATAAAGTTTTAATTTATAAAATGGTTTTATATTAATTTTCTTTATATAGAATAATTATATTTAACAATATTTTTAGATATTATTTGATAATTTTAAAAAAGAATTCAAAAGAACAAATTTATGGGTTTTTCTTAATCCTTTAAAATTAATTATCATTTTTTATTTTTAAAATAAATTTTAATTTTTTTAAAAAAACTATTAATAATTAAAATTAAATTTATATTCTAATATAAGATATTATCATAAATCTAAAATATAATTTATATAATTAAAATATTTATTTATTAGCTACTCAGAAAATAATAAAATAATATTTCTTTTTTAAAATAACATGATAAGACAGTTTTTTTTTTTCGCATACATCACATGTAGCCTTCGTGAATTGTAATCTTACTTGGGTTGAATTGGAAAACTGATAGTGAGAGATAGTTTAGAAATGAAAAAGTAAAACCTTATTAAATATCAAATTATTAGTACCAAGGGGCTATTAACACGTGCGCTCGTACTAAAGATTAGGGTTAAACAATTTAGTATTATATCATCATGATTATTATATTTTTTTTCTTCACGAGACAATTTAGTTAGGCATCATTATTTAACAGAAAAATATTTTATTTTTTTTAACGATTCGTTGTGATGACTATACTAAATAAAATTATTATAAGTAGTAGTAAAATTAAATTATTAGAACATATAAAATTAAAGGAGAATATATATATATATATATATAAAAGTAGAATACTTATATTAATATAAATAAGTTATATATATGTATAGTAATTTCAAATAATATTTTATCATAGTGTCGATCAAGTACAATTATATAAGTTATATCAAGGTAGTATCAATACCTAGCAAAATCACATCACCTGTCAATAACAGTTCCTCAAATTTATCTCTGATATACTCATATAGTGTATGGTCATTGTAATCCAAATCATAATGAAAATAGAAGGATAAGCTAGAGAAAACATGTAAGCATAGAAACAATTTTATATCATACATTATACCATAACCATACATGGAAGCCAATCACTTTAAGGCAAACATGTATCTCATGCAAACCACATCATACCAGACATACCAGACATCTAACAATGCATATAAACACACTACAACATACATAATATGTAAATACCTCAATTAATGCGTCGTCATACATTTACCTTCGGAGATCTCCTAACAACATGAACATCCAAGTGACTCCACCCTACTAAACCAACCCAGTCGTTATCGCACTTAAAGCGTCAGATCAATCACAACAAAATGGGATAACAACCTCTCTTCTGGTTTCTCAAGTCTTGTCACTTACACTAGGAAAATTTGATTCCACCTTTAGGAATAGTACAGCTAGGTATAGGTTTACCATGACCTTGACATGTGTTATCAAGTCACATATGAAATTCGCCTATTGATTATCCTCAAGAAATCATGCAACCTTTTCGGTTACTTAGTTAAGGTTGTAGTCGTTGACCTTCTATCATACTCAACCACTAACTAAGGACCTAGAAGAGACATAATAAATACAACTTAAAACTCGCTCCAAGAGACACACCTACTTAAGGAAGGTTTTCTAACCGTAGCCTATCCGAGCACCACTCCAAAATTCTCTATGTGGGATCTTTAGTTTTCAAAATATTTTTCCTCTCCTCAAGTCCTAAGTTAGTCAGAATGTCTTAATATCATATTGCATTCTTAGCATCCACACCATACCATACATCATATATATACAACACATCCAGTCAATATATATAGAGATCAACAACATTATACACATATATAGCATATATATACTCATCAACATCCAACACTATACAAATATCTACATATGTCATATCCAATCAACTTACATAGAATTACAACGTTCATACTTCATACAACATGCAATTGAGCTTATACATTCACCATACAACCTTCCAAAAGAACACCCATCATCCAAGCATCTCGCGCCCAGTGCAACACACCTCACGTCTAACTCTATCGAGGTAGGGAACTCTCTACCTCACTCACACCCAAGGCCATCCAAACCGCACCCAATGTGACCAAGGTGGAGAAAACCTAGGACCTCATGTTTGGCGTGGCCAAACCCACGCTCGACCTCATATCAAGTAGGCATCACACCCAATGTCACCTTAGCAGCACCTGGTGTCACCAAGTCAGAGACTTTCCCACACTCTCACACCTAATGTCATTCGAACCACATTCGACGTTGACCAAACCCAAGACGAGTCTTTCTCCTCACGCTCGACATCATTGATCTTGCGCCCAACGTGATCAAGACAAAAACCTCTAGTTGGAACTACACTCAACACCATGAAGGCACATCCGACGTGACTGTGATTTCTACACAATGTAGATCACAAAAATCGTCCCACACACTTGAAACTTGGAAAATCCAAAGCATCATAACATGCATTTACAACACCCACGACTCATTTTTGGCATCAAAAACCACATGCAACCATAAATCAAGTGAATCATCCGATTTCACCTTCATGAACACAAAACATTGAGAATTCAATATACAACAAACTCTACCTCGGATTTGCCAAACAACCAGGAATTCAAAGCAAATCTAGGCACATACAACACAATAATTTAGCAAGAATCGGGTCTAGTTTCCATGACCTCAAATCCTAGCCACCAAGAAGAAGAAATGAGGATGAGGAAGAGAAAAACTCTACACCACACTAATCCTCAACTCCTATGAGTTTGGATCACCACCTTGAGGATCAGCAAGAGCATTTCACTAGAGCTATCAAAATGGGTTACAACCTGTGAGCCAACCCAACTCACCATGAGTTTGAGTCGAGTTGGGCTCAAAAATTTTTGCAAATTTTAGTACAACTAAAAATCCAACCCAGCTCACTAAGAACTTGACTCACCTAGGTTGAGCCTGTGGTGAGCAAAGCTAGCTCATCAACCCACTAACACAAAAAAAGTAAAAATGAACCCGCATGACAACCCACTAACATTAAAAAAAAAATCATAGCAAGTCCAACCCATTAGGAAGGGAGGACACATAATGAAGGGAGGGGATCAGGGATGAACTTCATTCACATTAACTTAGGCATTTCCTTTCGACATTTTGGGGATTAGCCACTTAGGGTTCTCTTTTACACCATTATTTTCCTCTTTGACATCTTTGTCGTGACCACGTAATCGTGCGACCACTATCATGTGATTGTCACCACACGATTTCCACATTCAACAAGCATAGACCCTTCCACACCATGCACTACCACCACGTGACAACCAATGCACAATCTTCATCGCGTGACCACCACCATGCACAACCATTATTCGACGCATAACCCCTTTCGCACCACACACCTCCAATGCATGACCACCACCATGCAATTGCCACCGTGCACCATCATTGTTCCATGCATAGCCCCTTCTACACCACACACCACCCTCACATAATCAACCATATTTCACGCACAGCCCCTCCCATAATTGGAGGGTTGAACATTAGAAAAATACAGGTTTTTTTAAAATTAAGTGAGCTAACTTGTTTAACCTATCAATTAATGGTGAGTCGAGTTGGGCTCATTTTTTGTAAGCTTACTAGAAGGCGAGTCAGGTTGGGTTGGTCCACCTATTGGCCAACCTATGGTGAGCCGAGCTAGATCGGGCTAGATAACCCATTTTGACAACTCTACCTCTCACACCTTCGAAGAATCTAGAAAGAAGAGAATAAGTGTCAAAACTCTAAAGCTTCTCACTCTACTTCCTCTCTTTAAGATCTCTAAAAAATTGAGTTTATGAGGCTTAACTCTCAAAAGAAGCTTTATATACCTTTCCTCTCAAGGTCAACTAGACCTTTGGTCAAAGATCCTCACAAATCACCCAACTCACCTAGGTACAATGTTACATTTTTATTCCTAAAATGATTTATAATAGAAGACACATTTGTGACTATCGGATAAAGAGTCATTCACATGTTAGGAACTCTCAAATCAAGTATCAACATTTACTAACTAATTAGCTAAAATTTAGTGGTATCCAGTTTGACATAGGACTTTACTTGTTGAACTAAGAACAACAGGACTCCACAAAAGAGATTTTATCTCTAATGCCAAAGAATCTCTAAGTAAATATGCCTACCAAAATAAGATTTTTATCACTTATACCATTCTTTATTTTTCTTACAAGTTAAAATTTAGCTTATACTTTAGTTTCTATATTATAGAGGATAAATATTCATATTATATAATTAGAATTTATAATAAACTATTAAAGTCAGCCCAACCTACCAAGGTTTAGAAACTTGGAGGAGAAGCTTCAAAAACTAAGAAGAGAGCTTACAAATTTCAGCCAAAAAGAAAGCAAATGAGTTAGGCGGCCAAGGCTCCATTTTCTCCTTTGAATTATTTCAAAAATTGTTGATTTGGTTTAGTT